ACCTCAGAACTTTGGTGCAGGGAATACATAGGCGATCAGAAATAGAGAAGGATACAATACAGAGGAGTCACAAATTGGCAAGTGGGATATACTGAAGATAAATCACCTGTGTACATTGAAGGAATTCACCAAGAGAGTAATAAGAGTCCACAGATTGGGAAAACATCTTTAGCAATGACACATCAGACAAAGGCCTTATTACTAAAATCTACAATACTTTGCAAGCTTACAATAAGAGAAAAACTAACTGCCCACTAAGGAGGTAAGCAAAGGACATGAACAGAATTTTCAGAGTCTGAAATCCGAATGGCCAATAAACATGAGAAAATGTTCCTGATCATTAGCCATAAGAGAAATGCAAATTAAAACAATGAGATACCACCTAACACCCTCAAAGATAGCCCAATTCAAAAAATCAGAAAGTAACAAGTGTTGGAGGGGCTGTGGGGAGATAGGAACTCTCATACGCTGCTAGTGGACCTCTAGGTACATACAGCCATTGTGGAAATCAATTTGGCGATATCTAAAACAGATGGAAGTTAAGGAACATACGACCCAGCAATCCCACTACTGGGCATATACGCATAAGAGGCAAGAAACAAACCACAGCCAGACATCGGTGCTCCAATGTTCATCGTGGCACAGTTCACAATTGCAAGGAGTTGGAAACAACACAAATTTCCATCAACAGATGGAAACAAAAAACTGTGGTACATACATACAATGGAGTACTACGCATCCCTAAAAAGCAGCAACGAATGCATGAAGCACATTGTCACATGGGAAGAACTGGAGGAAATCATGCTAAGTGAAGTAAGCCAAGCACAAAAGGACAAGTACAACATTAAGTTCACTGAGGTAAGCTTAAAAACAAAACAAAATGGGGCATAGGAGAAAAGCTAGTATATACATACATCCTTGGGGTATGTATAGTCCAGCAACTATGGGAGGGGCCAAATCCAATCCAGGGATACATACGGCAGCCAATTAAATAAGAGGAGGAAAGAAAGAGAAAAGAAAAAGACATGGATGGGGTGGGGGGCAGGGCACTAACCCACCCAAGAGGAGGTTAAAATGTTTATATCTCCACAGGAGGAGAGAGACCAAGCTTCGAACCAATGTGCTAAGACGTGAATACAACATACTGGTATGTACCAGGGAACCAAGAGAGAGGTCTGTCCCAACTACGTGGACACCCACCTTCTCCTTCACAAGAATGCACTTCAGAGGACAGCAATGGGACTACAGCTTAGGAAGAGGGGCGCGTCAGTTTAGAGCACATGGGAGAAACGAAAAGGGATGAAGAGGGAGGAGAGGATATCCTGGCCCACCAAGCCCTCAGGATGACATTCTTGGAGCAGAGAACGCACAGAGAGGATCACAGGGCCGGCCCCACCACGAGACACAATGTACCTTCCTAAACCACAGCGCTACAGGGGACAACACTGGAGACACAGTGCGGGAATAGTGCACAATTTGAACCCATCATGCTGGGGTAAAACACTAAGGACATGCAACAGAGCAGCAAGGTGAGCAAAGTGAGGAAATCCCCAGGAAATACCAAAAACAGACTTTGGAGGCAGAGTGTAGCACCCCATCAGACAATCTGGAAAACACTCACAACGGCCAATGGACGTGAGCTATTTATAGGCTTTTCCATTTTTGTCAGCTTTCTTTTTGTTATTTGGTTTTAGTGTTTCTTTTGGTTGTTATTGTTTTGTTGGTTTTGACTTCCTCTGTTGTCTAATTTGGCTTTGCCTGGTTTTTGCAATTAGTGATGTATCTGCATGTCTATCTAGACAAGATAGGTGGGATAAATAATTTGGAGATGAAGAGAATGGGACTAATGTTTCCAGGGGGATACGGGAGAAGGGGAGGTAGGAGAAAGGAAGGGAGTGTGGTACGACCAACGACAAGGGAACAACAAGTGAACTAAAATCAATGGAAAGAAAGGGACAGGATGCCTAGTGGGGCTTAATCAAGGTCAATGTAATAGCGAGGAATTACCAAACCCGAGTGAAGGCTGAACACGATGGTGGGACAAGAAGAAAGTAAAAGGAAATAGAGGAAGAAACCAGGAGCAAAGGACATTTATAGTGGTCTAAATACAGACATGTACATATGTATGTATGTATGTATATATAAAACAAGAGGGGAATAGAATGATGTATTCATATCTATATATTAAGAATTAAGGCTGCAGATAGACATTGGGCTTCGACTCAAGTACTTCCTTAACACATGAACACTTTGTTCTAACAATCCACATTCTGTGATGTTCACCTTCCTGACAGGATCACTGAAGACAAAAAGGGTGCATAAACAAGAAAGATAGTGCCCAGTTATCAAAAGATATAACATCTGGGATCTAAAAGGCTTGAAGATAAACATGTGGCCATCTAGCTCAGAAGCAACAAAGCTCACATGGAAGAAGCACACCAGCCTATGTGATCACAAGGTGTCAATGGGATCAGGTACCAGGCATCTAAGACCCAGAATAAAATCATGCCCAATGTGATGGGGGGGGGAGGGGGGGAAATGGAGTAGAGACCCAATGCCCATCTGTAGACAATTGGGCAGTCCCTCACAGAGGGATCACAGGAAAGAGACGAGCCAGTCAGGGTGCAGTGTAGCACCGATGAAACACACAACTTACCTCTAGTTCCTTGGTGTTTCCTGTCCACCCCTATCATGACGTCAATTCTACCTTACAAATCGGATTAGACCACAATATGCATGCTGCTACAGATAAGAGCTTGTAATAAATGGAATCCAGGATAGATAAGCCCCTCAGGGCCAACCAGGACAGTAGAGATACCACGAGGATTAGGGGAGGATGGAGGGAGAAAGGGAGAATTGATCACAAGGATCACTCTAAAACCCCCTTCCAGGGGGACGATTAACAGAAAAGTGGGTGAGGGGCGACTGAGGATGATTTACGATATGACAAAGATCATTTTTAACTTATCAGGGGTTTGTGAGGGAGGGAGGGAGAAGAAATGGGGAACAGATATCCGGGACTCAAGTGGGAAGAGAATGCTTTGAAAATGATGATGGTGTCCTTTGTGCAAATGTGCTTGGCAAACTGGATGAATGTATGGACTGTGATAAGAGCTGTAACAGCCACCAATAAAAGTACGGAGGAAAGAAAAAAGAAAAAAAAACTTTATTAAAAAAAAAAAGATTCAAAGTCTCAAAAACCCACAAGGACAGTTCTACTTTGTCTTATGGGGTCACCATGAGTCAGAATCGACTTGAAGGCAGTGAGTATGGGGCTTGGGCTAACATAAGCATTGTATTCTACAAATTTATAAATTTAAAAATATCAAATAATACAAATTTGTACTTTGATCATAGAGGAATTAAACTAGGAATGTCAATGACAGAAAGCATACATGAAACATTCCCAAGTATTTGAAACTTAAGAAAACAGTCTCCTGCAAAATTCTTGAGTCAAAGAAGAAATGTCACACTAAATTAGAGAAAATGTTGAGCAACAACAAAAAACATGAAAGGACAAAATATCTATGGTGTTAAGTTTAAAATGTACTTAAGAAGGAAGTTCACAGCAATGAACGCTTATTAGAACTAAACAGGGGTCTTACAACAATAATTTAAGAACAAAATAAGCCCAAAACAAGGAGAAAATAAAGGGTAGAAGTCAATGAACTTAAAAATACAAACTAAACAGTACTAAGCCAACGTAGTCAAACAAAATGGCTGATTCTTTAAAAGGATCAAGGAAACAAAGATTTCTAGCAAGACTGATAAAATGTTTAAGATTAATTTCCAAACAAACCCAGGGACAAGGGAACAACAAGTGATCCAAACTGGTAATGAGGAGGGTGTAGGAGGAAGCCTGATAGGGTGTGATCAAAGGTAATGTAATTGAGAGGAATTACTGAAACCCAAATGAAGGCTGAGCATGATAGTGGGACAAGAAGAAAGTAAAAGGAAATAAAGAACTGGAAGACAAAGGGCATTTATAGAAGTCTAAATACAGGCATGTACATATGTAAATATACTTATATAAGAGGATGGGGAAATAGATCTATGTACATATATTTATAGGTTTACTATTAAGGTAGCAGAGGGATTTGGTATCAGGGATCACAGAACAAAAAAATCAAATCATTGTGAATGAGGGGGAGTGCAGATTGGGGATCCAAGACCCATCTGTAGGCAACTGGACATCCCCTTACAGAAGGGTCGTGGGGAGGAGACAAGCCAGTCAGGAAACAGTGTAGCAACAATGAAACATACAACTTTCCTCTAATTCCTAAATGCTTCCTCCTCACCCACCCCCACTATCATGATCCCAATTCTACCTTACAAATCTGGCTAGATCAGAGGATGTACACTGGTACAGATAGGTGCTGGAAACACAGGGAATCCAGGACAGATGATTCTTTCAGGACCAGTGCTGAGAGTGCCGATATCGGGAGGGTGGAGAGAGGATGGGGTGGGAAGGGGGAACCGACTACAAGGATCTACATATAACCTCTTCTCTGGGGGATGGACAACAGAAAAGTAGATGAAGGGAGTGGGAAAGATATGACATAATAATAATATATAAATTAACAAGGGTTCATGAGGGAGGGGGGAGCAGGGAAGGAGGGGAAAAAATGAGGAGCTGATACCAAGGGCTCAAGCAGAAAGCAAATGTTTTGAGAATGATGATGGCAACAAATGTACAAATGTGCTTAACACAAGGGATTTATGTATGGATTGTGATAAGAGTTGTATGAGCCCCCAATAAAATGCTTTAAGAAAAGATTAACTTCCATATGTTGTACACACAGCTTAGCTTACTCATATATATTCATCTCTTAATATTTTTGTAAGACAAATGCAAATATTGAAGTTGCCAAAGGAGTTGTATGTAACCTATTTGGAATTCAATTGCCAACAGCTGCAACTTGGCCTGTACCTCAGTATTTGTATTATCAATGTGGGTAAAGTCCTTAATTGTCTCTAATGTTATTTCCTCAAAATGTTGATAATAACAGTATTGACTTTATTGAGTTAAGAGGTTAAATGTGAAAATACAGGCAATTGAGAAGTGTCTGGTATACAAAAAGCATGAAAAATGCTTTGTACATATTGCAAATGTAAGGAATGTCCCCTTAAGGTTTTCCATTGAGTCAAAAAGTAGTATTACTCACAAAACATTAATATATGTTTGAGAATTTTCATCAGAGTAAAATTGTATATAAGAAAAAATTAGGAAAGCACACAAATAAACATTAACAGAGGAAAATAAATTAGTACACTTGGCAAAATGTTCAACCACTACTTATTTTTAAAATATTGGGTTAAAATGGCAACCAAGTACCTCTTTTTAAAATAATAATTACCTCAGAAAAATTAACATCCAAAGCTGTCAAGATTGTTTCAAACAGCACACTAAACTTTATTTTTAACAGTTTGAATCGAAATAACTCTTTTGGAAAATAATTTGCTATGCATTTAAAAGGGAAAAAAGTATTTTTCATAGGCCCATTATCTATGATACTACAATTCCTATAAATCTATATATACTCAAGTATCTCTTCATATTGTAGACAGAAATTATTTCATATTCAACACTTTCTGATGTGTCCCATGACTTCAGTTAAACCAGTCATTGTATGATAGACAACAAACTGCACGCTAGTAAGAATAAGAATTTGTCTGGGACAGGAAAACAATAATACTAAGTAACTCAAACCAAGGTTTCTAGGGTTAAAACATAATTGTAAGGTCAGATTAGTCAGATCAAAGCTTTCAGAATTCAGTCTCATGACACTATCTGGGTGATGTATCTTGAAATACTAAGAATGATATTAAATATTCTTATGTAAGTTCCATTATCTAAATCTTAAAAGGAGCTTTGCCCTGTTGAAATGGAAAATCACAAAATAAAAGTTGTAATCATTTTTGAGATCTTTTAATAGATCAAGTTATGGATTTATATACATATAAGAATCATCAAATTTGATTTAGTATGTTAACTCCTACATTATCATTTACCAACAGATTGCTTTCATTGAATATACAAATAAGCTGACAAAAATCTACTTTAGAAGTATTAGGAAATTTTAGATTAACTTGAAGCAGAGAGCAACAGCATACAATATACCCTCCTGCTCCCAAGTTATTCTTAAAAACTCATATGCATAACTAATGGTAATAAAAAAATTCTTAAAGTAGAGAGCAACCATTAAATATACAGACATGATATTTAAACATCATTAAAATTAAATATACATTGGTGTTCAAGACTGGGTCTAATCTGGTTTCTGACATTGTGTCCCCTAAGATTAGCTAGCCTCAATTAGCTTCTCTCTGCCATTGTCAATGCTGACTCATAGTGACCTCCTGTGGGTTTCTGAGACCTAGCAAGGCAAGTCTTTCTCCTGCGGAGCTGCTGCTCGTTTTGAACTGCCAAACATGCGGGTTACAGCCCAACCTGTCACCACTGTACTACCAGGGTTCCTTCTCATTAACTTAGTATAGGCATAATATCTTTCCCTGTATTCCCTTTGTGGGTCCAGCTATAATTGCTGAAATTCTTTCTTGTTTGACTTATTAACAATAGAAAATACACAATTTTTTTGCTTTTGGAGTTACACTAATTAAAACTTGTAACATTTTTTCAGTTACAACCCCCATATTCCAAGTTCAAATGACTTTGAAGAATTGCCCCAGGTCTACACCTATGTGCTCTATCACACCCCATACATGGTTAACTGTTAACGTGTGGGTTATAACAAGAGCCTATGCCACTTTGGATTGCACACCTCCTTGCAAGATTAATAGATTTCTTAGCGCTACTCCTTTGCCCTGCAGCATTCAACAATTGGTCAATTCAGAGAGGACCCAGGAGCAAGAGTAGACCAATAATTTCATCTCACTTGTTTCCCTGTATTCTTGCTTTTACTTGTAGGATTTACCACCGATCAAGTATTTCAAGCCGATATGTAAAATGTTTACAAGAAAAATCATTTAATGATACACATAAAATCACAACAATAATTGGACCATAGTTAAGAAGAATGAATCTTTTAAAAGTGATTGCATAAATGAAGAAAATACCTTGAAAATATGATTTTAGTGACAATAACACCATACTTCTATATTAACAAATTAGATAAAGCACTTTTTTTTGTTTGCTTTATGTTTACAAACAGGTGAAGGGCTAAATTTGTACCTCAATCACTGGCTAGTGATCATTTGGGCACTTTTGTCTTGGATTTTGTTTCTTTTGGGATCTTTCCATTTTGACATTGAGTAAATCTGGAAACTGTAGAAACTCCATCCACAAACTTAGTTTTGAAAAGTACATTTGCGTTGTTGAACATACCTTCTTTTAGGGACACTACAATGAACTTAAGAGAAAGAGAAAAAGATATTGATAATACTTTTTGGGTTACCTTTAAAGAAGTTCCCTTTTTTAAATTGGGGCTAAGAATGGTGCAGAGGTTATTTTGATGTTATTTCTTTATATACTTGCCTCCAAGCACTTAGACATCCTCAAATGAAAGGAACAAACAACTGTATTACAAAACCAAGCCACCCCCACCCCAATGTGTTCCATAGGGTTTTCACTGGCTAATTATTTGGAAGTAGATAGCCAGGCCTTTATTCTGAGGTGTTTTGGGGTAGACTCAAAATCTAAGTTTCCGTTAGCCATTCATGGCACAGATTATTTGGACCACCCAGGGAACCCTACCTTTCTACACAAGAATATATAAATTTCTCAATTTCACCTTGAGTGCATCTTATTGGTTTACTTCTTGTAAATGACTACTGTTTATGGCTGATTGGGTGTTGCTGTCTTCCGCAGTCATTCAGTTTGTTGCTAGCTCTCTAACTGCCAAAGTGAAATACATTTCAAGCTCTGGGTAGCATCACCACTGACCCTTCCTTTATATGCTTAGGAGGAAAGGTGCCACTTAATGCTTTTCTGGCCAAGAACTGCCATAATAATGCAGCAATCTTTGATAAATATGAAAAAGAACGTCCCTAGAATTGAACAATGCATAATGTATACACATATACCTGGCAGCCCTGTTTCTATAGAAACAGTGCAGTCTATAGAAACAAACTGCTTCAGGGGGCTTTCTCCCCTAATTAGCCAGGAAAAATGAGATTTCTCTTACGTACCACAAGACTTTCTGATATCTAAATAAATCCCTGAAATAATCTTTTATTTATTGTGTATCTTTCTGCCAGCTAGCTAGAGAAATTAACTGCAAGAAATATAAATCAATTCCAAATTATGACAAAACTGGATTCTCCCACTTGCCACAATCAACAATTTTAATGTTTGTTCTTTCTTCTTCATGAGACCAAACATGCTTTCCTTCTACGCCAATTAGAATATAAGCACGTTTACTAGAAATACAATAGTTTTAGTGCCATTAATCTTAAGGATCATGTAAATTCTGATTACTGCTATCGCATACTTTTAAAACTAAAAACTATGTGTACCATAAATAATAAACTGCTAATGATGTATGGATTCTGCTTCTTACCTGAGAATGTGTGAAATGGGTACGCAGCATCTGGCCAATATTCTGGGTATGAGAAAGGTCCAAGGCTGCATCAACCTCGTCCAGGATATAAATGGGAGCAGGTTTGAAGAGGAGCATAGACAATATTAATGACAAGGCCACTAAAGACCTAAGCAAAAAGGGGGAAGGGGAGAAAAGTTATTTTTAAAAAACAATGAAGTAATTGTGTCATTTTGGTATTACAGTATTTTGAACAGCACATTTATTTACGTGATCACAAAAAGAAACGTAAGATCCAAAGTTCCACATTTCTTCTGTAGTATTAATGCTTCCTTTAATTTAGTTCATTTTTTGGCTCTTTTTTCAAGAGTTTTACTTTAAGATTCCTCGTTGTTTCAATGAAAAGAATAGAAACCTGCCTTATTTAAAGTAAACCCATTTCATGGGAAAAACTCTTCAATTTTGCCTCACAAGACTGTTTTTCAATTTTAAAATCAGTAATGTTGAAGGTAACACTTTAAATCTCACATAAATGTTATTTTCAGAAGATAATTTTAGCCTTTTTAACATATCTTCAATACAGGGCCAAAAAATTTTGTTTTAATGTATTTTCCCTTTATCTCCACAAATGAGCATACGTTGCATAGATTATGTTATCTTACATACTTCCATGTCAGAAATTAATACCATGTAAAATTTGTAGTTTCTCTGACACCCAGATTTCATAGCTCGTGCTTGTTTTCTTCTAGCTCAACACGCTTTTAATGAGACTCCTTTCATTTTAACCTAGTATATAGTGTTATAATGATACTTTTAAGGAAACAATGATAATAACAGTATGGTTTGATCTTAATATAAAATACTTGTAATTTCTCAACATGAAGGGAAATAAAAACATTTGCAACATACGTATTTTTGTGTTATACTCAATTAACATGGCCCTTCCAGCCATAATCACTATGTGATATGTGGTAACTCTGGATCTCAGTTATCTGTGGCTCTAGTCCCATTTTGGTGGGCATTATCTGCTAACAAACAAGAATAAGGTAAGATTAAGATTTGGCCTTAGTAGAGGGTGTGAATCAGACCACATTCCTTGTCTAATGGTTATCCTGGACATTGTGCTTGTAATGGATGTATAGAATTATATGCTACAGCTGAGAGGAGAAAGAAAACTGCTTCTGTATTGGCCTGGGGAAAAGCCTGGATGTTTATGATTTGTAGGTGGCTAATACCTACTGGAAACATGCTGACAGGAGCCCTTGGGTGATATGTGCATAAATAAGATCCAGTCCAAGAGTAGAGAATAGATTATTATATTTGAATGAAATTAATTGCACCATGTAAATTCTATCAAACGAGATTTCCCTGCATGGGTCTGGCAAGAAGGTGAGGGAAGACACTGATGGGATCACCTGTGACTAATTATGAAAAGGATTCCCTGGAAGGGCATCGAACTGTATATAAAACAAACCCACTGATAAGCAAGGGGTATGATCTCATTACTGGGAAGAGCTCGGAGAGGGAAGCATCCTCTGGGCCCATCATCCAACTTACCTCTGCCTGACCTTCAGACTTTGGACTGAACTGTACCTATCACCATGTGAGACATTTCTTTGAACTTTTGTGGGTTCTGTGGGACACTGCAGCAATTCACAGAACCCAGATACGTGAGGGAATACTCAAGGGAGGAAATAAAGCAGATTGTCATCTTGTAAGAGTTGGGCTCTTGAGACTTTTTTAATCCTCAGACCCTTGGGACTAGTTTGGTATTAATTCTTACAAAAGAAATTATTACCATGATTTACTAACTTCAAATATCTCCTGGTATGCAACACTAGAGAAGTCAATCTTATGGTTATAGCATTCCAGTAGGGTACTGAGAAACACATAAATACAAGCAGTAAAGAAATGTGTGCACATATAAAAAGGCACAGGCAAGTTAAACCAAGATTTCTAACAAAGAAAACAAGTGAAACAGTGCAAGGAAAAACACCAAGTCTGATATTCAGCTCTATATAGGGTGGTAAGGTCATTTAAGCAATCTAAAATTATTTTCCACTGGCCTCTTCTGTGACAAGTGTCTAAGGAGCTCAACTAAACTTATCTTTAACAAAACACTTCCAGATTTAAATTGTTGTTCTACAGTGATATATATGTTATATAAATATATATAAATTTTATCTTATAGAAGTAACTTACAGTTCTCAAGACAAAAAACATGTATTTTCTCATTTCCTCAAAATGTTTCCTAGGACTTTGGCTAAATAAATAGTTTCTTAGGACTTTGGCTAAATAAATAAATATATATATATGATTATATATATAAGAATATAAATTATAGGGTTTAATTTTGCCTAGTGTTTCTGTAGGGGAGAAGCGATCTTTAGACTTTTAAAATATTTAGGAATTTTATCATGACGACTTGTTCTCTTAAGAAATGACAAAGAAAATTTTAAGCTCAAAAGAAAAGTTCCGTGTACTCTAGGTCCAGTGAAAACAACTCAAGTACTGTCATCCTGGCCAAAAAAATCAACACCAAATATCAATCTTTATTACATGAAAACTTATACTTTTCTTTCAAGAGGTTTTAATTATTTAGTTGCCAGTAGGTAGAAGTCTAAGCAACATGACCTATGTTTTTATCGCAGTGTATCTTGTTGGAATCAATGTGTAATGGCTGGGAACCCAGCCACAGCCATCAAATCAACTCTGACTCAGAGTGCACCTAAGTGAAGAGGAGAACTGCTCCCTAAGGCTTTCTTTGAGGCAGTTAAGCTTTACAGAAACAGGAAGCCTTATTTTTCTTCCATAGTGTAGATGGTGAGTCTGACCTTGTGATTAGTGGCCCAAAATGTGTTGCCAACGACAATACAAAGGTTGCAAGGTTCCATGGCTGAGGAGAAAAACGAAAACCCACACTTTACTGCCAGAGTTGGCTCTGACTCGCAACTGCTCAGGAAAATGTGCCCAGAGTCTAAACTAGGTCATCTCTAGCATTCATTCCTTTGTGTAGATCTGGTTTCATTCTCTTCCAAAGAACTTTCTACAATTTGCCGTACTATTTCTCTGGAATCAAATTCTTCCAGCATTTGTCAGCAAAACATCCATGCTGCTTCACCTTTGAAAAATATTTTTGTTAGACATCTTTGTTGACAAATTTTTCTTCCATGATAGGTATTATTCCAGACGTCTAGCTTGTATAGTTTTTAAATAAGAAGTCTGAGGTAGTTTTGAGTTTTGTTCTGCATGTGGTTTTTTTCCCATCTGTTTTAAAGATTTTTTTCCTATCGTTGATTTTAAGCAGTTTTATGACATGCCTTGTTCTGTAATTGTGTGTATCTGTTTATCCTGCTTTGGTACAGAAAATCCTTAGGTTTGTGATTAACAACATTCATCAAATCTAGAAATTTGTGCTCGCTTCGGCAGCACATATACCAAATCTAGAAATTTGGGGCCATTATTTCTTCAGAATTTTTCCATATTATTCATTTTTCTTCCAGAACTCGTTATTCTGTTTGATGTTGTCCTAGAAGTGAATGAATTTGTTTCCTATTTCTTTTGTTGGCATGAATAGATTGAACTACTAATACTTCCAGTTCACTCATCTTTCTTTGGAGATATCTAATCTGCTGTTGATCTCTTGCAGTGAACTTTTCATTTCAAATATATTTTCTATCAATAGAAGTACCATTTGATTATTTTTGTTATCAAATTCATGATTTCTGCTATATACTTTAAAAATAGTTAGTGTAACTTTAATGTCCTATTTCCTAATATCATTATCTATCATTTCTGGGCCTGTTTCTATTAACTAATTTCCAGCCCCTTGTGGTTTTCATTTCACATTTTCTTGATCTTTATCTAGTCATTTCTAGTAGATGCTAGAGATTCAGATTACATGTTACTGTCTGGCTGTTAGCGGATAATGAAATGCAGATCTTGATTCCTTCAAGGCTTATAAATTTTGCTAGGGTGTGCCTAGATTAGCCTTTACTTCAGGAATAGTATAAGGCTTTCTGCTAATGTACAACATGCTAGAACCAATTGATGTTTTATCTCCTTAATTAACAATACTACTGGATGTTTAGGTTCCACTCCACATGTCTGAAGTCCAGAAACTGTCCCAGAGCAGGAAATCCAGGTGAGCACAGGATCACTACTTTTCTTTCTTTTAGATTTTATAGCCCTAGAATGCTCATTTTCCAATGCCTACAATAGCATTTTTCATATATTTTGCCTGGTTTTCTAGTATTTTATTTTTGTTGCCTACTCAAATGCTTCTGACAAACTGTATTAGGCTCTTCAAATACTGCATGCAAAGAAAACTATGCATGGCAAATTCTATTAAATTGGGAGATAATCACTAATAGCTTATAATATGGGTAATGGAGATTTATAATCTCACAAAGGGACTACTTACTCACCTCTGACCACCACTAAGTTCAGTTAGGTTGTCCTTCCAGGTGTTTCCTAAGGCAACCTTGAACTCTAGACCATCCAAAACTGTTTGTCCCTCTGGTGGTGCAAGCATAGCATTAGCGCCAGGCAATAGAGTAGAAAAGATAGAGCCAAAGTCCTGGTTCACCTGGGCGAAAGATATTAAAACATCACACAATGTTCCCAGAAGAACCGAATGTACCTACTGACATGTACCGTGGCACTTACGCGACTCAGCAGGGGTAGACTGCTGTCTATTGCAGTACTCTGATTCAGGGAACCACAAAAGGCCATTAAACTGTGGCCTATAGAGAATCTCTCCCATTCATTTGTAAATTGTCTATGGCTTCTAGCAATACAGTAATTCACTCAAGTAACTGTGACAGATCTCATACAAAATAAATTCCACTTTAGGATTCGAATACCTTTTGCCAAGCAATATTTAAGGCTTGGTTTTTCTTCTGGTCAAGGTCTTCTATAGTCGCAAGGATTTTGGATTTGTCATTTTCTACAATTCTCTTCTTCTTCATCAAGTCATTATACTAAGATTAAAAAGCATACTTAATTAGGAAAATACAAAAATTTCTTTATAGTCTACAATTCAGTCAGGAATAGTATTCATTATTTTTGCAAATAATAGATATCTTTCTATTGACAAAATCTTATAAGCCCTAAGCATTAAGATGCAAAACCAATTTCTGGATATATTAAACTTAATTACTATAATTGAGAATAAAGCCTTTGAAATATTTTCACTCCATATCATTCTCTTACCTCCTTTCCAGCCAAAGCAAAAGTGAAATGTATCATGTATACGCCCATATAAAAGTAGTCCTGTTCTGTCCTGAAGGGTTAGTTAGCACTAACAAATCAAATCCCAGTCCTTCACCATAATACACAAGATCTACATTTGATGCTTATTTTTCTCTCTTTATCTTATCAGATTCCTCCCATGCTTCTGCCGTAAGTAATTTTTCTGTTCCTTTAATATAATACAATCATTCTAGCATAAGCCTAGTGTACATTGTTCTCTCTTTGTGGATTGCTCTTCCTCTGTAACTAGTATTTTATCCTGCAAGCCTTAGCCCAAACATTACCTGTCAGAATAGCCTCTGCTTATTGTAGAAATTTACTGAAAAACTTCCAAAGGAGGGCACAGTGGGATAATTATACCATAAGCAGCAGTAGATAAACCTATTTCTCACCCAAACCTCACATTTCAGGGAGGTGTCATATTTTAGGGTTTTTGTTGTCCCCTCTGCTTTACTGATAAGCTCCCCAAGTCTAATCTTTATTAAAAATTAAATAATTTCTTGTATAATAAAGTTTCTTATGTGTACAGGTATACAATGCAACAACAAAACCATCTACTAATCCATCATAGGTTGTTTTCTTTCTTTCTCTGGTTAAAAGTGGGAGTTGGCAAATTCTGTCCTTAAAAATATTAGGCTGTCATCATTTTTTCCTAATAAAAACTCACACGTGAGAGAAAACAGATGCCATAATTAATCTCAAATTTAAACCAAAGATTTTCTTCTACAGTTTTAATGCAGAAATTAAAAACTAAGAGCAGCAGTTTATAGAGAACAGAATATCTGTATTATTAGCCTGGATAGGTTCTTGGTAAATACTATTAACAATAACAGTTGGGGGGCGAGGGAAAGCCCCAATACAGCAACATTTATTTTAAAAAATTGAATTTATAAGTACTATCAGTATTGCATTTATCTTATTAGCTCTATTGTTTTAAAAAAATTTTTTTCATTAGCTCTATTCTAATATGCAAAATAAAAAAGCAATGTTATAGAATTAAAGATGTACAGGATATACTATTGTAGACGTAAAGAAATGAATGAGCCACTATATAAAATTATTAAGGTTGTTATCTCTTATATGCCCCTCAGGGATAGGGATTGCCTTTTTCTCTGTTTTCCCCCCAGTGACACAGCCTCCAAAATTTAACATTTGATTACAATAAAATTTCCATTTTAGACTATGAGAGTTTTCTAAGGGGAGATGAATAACATTATTGAGTAAGTGAGCACATTAACACCGAGAAGATACTGGTGGGTTTACAAATAAGACCATTTTAATCACGAATTATAAAACAGTTTTGAACTCCTAGTGGCATAGTGATTACATATTGGGCTGTGATTCATAAGGTCAACAGTTCTATTCCTGTGAACAGTTAGTCTCACAAACTCACAAGGGCAGTTCTACCCATGACTTGGGTAGAAGTAAGTTTGGCAGTAAGTTTGTTTTTTAATATAATGGTTTTAGTATACACTAGAGTCAAATGGCAGATAGCAGTTATGAAGTGACTGGAAAGGAGGAAAACGGCAGTATTTTTTTTTTCAAGGCTTTTCAAGTCAAGTAAAAGAAATGATATAAATGTGAGGCATGAACAGTACCAAGAATGAATAGAGCATGCTTATGGCAAAGCACAAAAGGTCGTGGAAAAGTCATTTACCATACAACAGAATAGCTGAACAGCTGATGATGTTAGAAGGACGAGAAAAACATGAGAATAAGTACAGAGAATCAGAAAGTAAAACAGGCATTAAGGGCATTAAACAAAAGTTGACTCCTATACTTCTCAGGGTCTCATAGAACCATGACTGCCACACACGTCCCCAAGTGGTGGGACATTCATGGGAAATTGGCTTACCCGCTCTTCAGCTTCTGTTAGTACATTCATGGCTCTCATATTGACATTTCTTCCTAGCTTTTCCTTCATTTCTTGCAATTTTTGAAGTCTCTGGCCAGCTTCTTTTGGGTTGTTAGTTTTGAAATCATAGGCACTATTAGGTTGGCCAAAGAGGTGTTTCTCAGCATTAATCCAGTCATAATCTTTCAACATTTTGGATACCTAAACAAATATGAAAATGGCAGGATCTATTACTGCTTATACACCTATATTTGTAAGCCAGTTTATTTTTAAATTTTTATTTATTTTTCAATTTTAATAAATCATTTTATTGGGGGCTCTTACAGCACTTGTAACAATCCATACATCAATTGTATCAAGCACATTTGTACTTATCTGAAACATTTTCTTTCTACCTGAGCCCTTGGTATCAGCTCCTCTTTTTTTCCCCTCCTTCCTCCCCCTCGTGAAACCTTGATAATTTATAAAATATTCCTATTTTCATATTTTACACTGTCCGCTGTCTCTCTTCACCCACACCTCTGTTGCTCGTCCCCCTGGGAAAGGGGGGTTTGTATGTCGATCGTTGTGATCAGCCCCAACCCCCACCCCCTACCCTCATAGTATCATTTCTCTCATTATTGGTCCTGAGGAGTTTATCTGTCCTGAATTCTTGTGTCGAGAGTTCTTATCTGTGCCAGTGTACATCCTCCGGTCTAGCCAGATTTGTAAGATAGAACTGGGGTCATGACAGTGTTGGAGAGGAAGCATTAAAGAACTAGAAGAATATTGTGTGTTTTGTCAGTGCTATACTGCATCCAGTGTAAGCCAGTTTCTTAAATATTTGTCAATTTAAAGTATTTTTGAGGAAACTCCATAATTACTCATTTCAAAAACATAGGGTCACTGTTATGAGGTATATATAAAATATATTTTAATCTGGAGCATAGGCTCAGTGTAACAGAATGTCTATGATCCTGTAAATAAAAAATCTCAACCTACAAAAATCTTCTAGAACTAATAGAAAAATTTAGTAAAGTTGCAAGCCAAATCAACTGGGTGTCTAATTTTCAGCAATGAGAAATCTGAAAAGGAGAAAACAAAAACAAACCTGTTCATAATAGCATCTAAAACAATATAGTATCTAGAAATAAATTTACCCAGGAACGTAAAGGGCAATGAAAATTATAAAATACTGTTGAAAGAGACTAAAGACTATCTAAATAGATGGAAGACATTTTGTGCTCATGGACTAGAAGACTTAACATAGTCAAGATCTCAATACTACCCAAAACAATGATCTATAGACAGATAAATATTCCAACCATTATTCTTTACAGAATGGAAAAACAAATCCTCAATATTACCTGAAAGGCTAAGAGACCCAAAGAACCAGGCAACTGTGAAGAACAAAATATGAAGCCTAATATTTCCTGACTTCAAAACATGTAACACAACTACAGTAAACAAAGCACTCTGGTACTGTTTTAATGAAAGATAGGTGGACTAGAAGAATAGATTTTAAAATTCAAAAATATATCTAAACATATATGGTCAAAAATTATTTTCAAAAAAGCCTGAAATCTAGTAAATGTGGATAGAAAGAACTCTTCAACAAATTGTGCTGACAAAACTCGGTTTCTAATTTAAAAAAAAGGTAATATCCATCTTAATTCAAAACAAGGACAGATTATAAAGCTATAGCCCTGTTCTTAAAAGGAAAATATAGGGCCAATGTTTGAAACTAATATCAAATACAACAAATGCACAAACAAGAGTAAAGAGAACATACAGGTTGGGGAAAAAAAATCTTCAGGAACAATAGAATCAACAATGGCCTCATAGCTAAAACATGTAAACCACCACAGCTTAAAAATAAAGATAGCAAATAACGCAAGTAAAAATGGGGCCAAGTTCATAAATGAGCTCTACATAAAAAATCTTCAAATAGTAAATAGACGCATTAAAAATGCTCCTTGTCATTAGCCAGCGGAGAAATGCAGATCAAAACCACGATGAAATAACATTTCACTCCTACCAATATGATTATAACTTAAAAAAAGGAAAACAAATGGGACCTTTATCTATTGCTCACCACTGCCACCAAAAATCACTACTATTGAAGTTGATTTCCACATACAGACCCTATAGGGCAGAGGAGAACTTCCCCAGTTTCTGAGGCAGTAAGGTCTTTATGGGAGCAGACAGCCTCTCTTTCTCCTATCGAGCAGCTGGTGGATTTGAACTGTTGATCTTACAGAGAGCAGCTGAAAGAATGCAAATTACTTCAGCCATTGTAGAACAGTCTGGTGGTTCCTAAAACAACTAGGAGTAGAGCTGCCATAATGCAATTCTACTCCTAGGTATATGAAGGCCAGTTAAAAGTATGCTATGAAATCAAAGAAACCTTTATTAAACAAAAATATAAATACGTGAAGCTACTGTTTCTTAATATATCCTCCAATTTAGATTTTCTACAAGTGGTGTTTCCATCTCTAACCCAGTGGTCCTCAACCTTCCTAATGCCGCAACCCTTTAATACAGTTCCTCATGTTGTGGTGACCCCCACAACCACACAATTATCTTAGTTGCTACTTCATAACTGTAATTTTGCTACTGTTAGGAACTGGCCGACCCCTGTGAAAGGGTCATTCAACCCCCAAAGGGATTGCGACCCACAGGTTGAAAACTGCTGCTCTAACCAATTTCCCAAAGAATTCTGCACTCTGATTAACCAGACTTCAAGAAAGCAGATTTGGCATTCATAAAGAGATTCAAATCAGGCCCCCTTTAGATTTTGAGTTTAGGTAACAAAAGGAAATCAGAAAGGACAAAATCAGGGCTGTAAGGGAGGATGGGTAAAGTTCCCCAACAAAAATCTCATAGGACAGACCTGGCTACCCTCAAAAGTGAGCAGGTGCACTGTCGGGACGAAAATCAAAACCACCAGCTGCTTGAGCAACTTTCCTGGTCCTTTCCTCATGAACAGTTTCACATTTCTGAAACTATCTTCATAATAAACCCTGTGTCCTTCTAAAAAAAAATTTTATTGGAAATATTACGGTTTTGATTGGACCTACTTTCTGAATCACATAAACACAGGCTGGTCCCCAGTAATAAGTGATTGCAAAAAGGTGAAAAGAGTAGGCCTTTGAGCTAGGCATTCTTCACACAGTGCTTTCCTTTTTAATATCCTTTTTACCCAGACACTCTAAGGAGGAGAGAACTTCCTGCAGCCATTCTCATATTTCAGAGACGCGTTTCAACAGGTTTTCTTTGGAATAAGCCATGCGTAATATGCACTGGGACCCCAGCAGAAATACTTGTTTGACTTAATATATATAACTTTGAAAATTCTAGAACAGTGCTCAAGATCTATTAGCCTCTTTTAGAATTGTTTGAAGGTTCATTCTGATTGCTAGATTGTAATCCTTGACACAATTTGTTTACCTTTATTACTTGCATGAGTATCTTACATGACTATAAATAATATCTGTAAGCTTTACAAAGGGATTCTAGGTATGTGCTGCTTATTCTTAAATTCAGTATTAATAAATGATCTGACACTAGAAGGTATTCAAGGAGTTATGATGACATAGAGGATTACTCATTGGGTTGTTAAATGCAAGGTCAGCACTTTGAAACCACCAGCCTTTCCTCGAGAAAAAGATGAGGCTTTCAACTTCAGGTAAAGATTTATAGTCTCAGAACCCACAAGGGCATTTCTACTCTGACCCAGAATCATTGTCAGTTGGAATCGACAATGGCACAGAGTTTGGGTTGCTTTTCTTAAAACACTGTATTACAAAGACTCATTGATAATTTATTAGCTCTACTTGCAGGTTCCTTTTAATAAACCCCTGACAATCACTAAAACTTAAATTTTCTATTACCGAAAACTGTTAGCGATGCTACTGACATCAGTAACATCTAAATAAGTTGACTAGCACTAATGGGGAATCAGTAATAGTAAATGAGTGAACAATTACAATGTAGTCATAAATTTTTTTTACCCAAGTAATGAATTCCATAGGCATACTAGAAGGCGTCAAAAGATTCATGGGAAAAATTGAATTTAAAGACAATAAACACTTTTTGAACCCTGCTTAACTTTCTTCTTTCAGAAGGTAAGGAGATAGCTTTCCATGTTCCTTTCTCCCAGTTAAATCACTCGGTTTTAGGTTGCTAAAAAATTGATCATGGGCATGAAACATACACAGAAATGTTACACATCCAGAAAACAGTTTAAAATAATTAATGAGACCCCTTATATAATCTGTCAAGAAAAAAATTTCTGACAGAGCATTTCTTCTTTTTGAAAACTTAAGCCACTATAGTGAAAGAAAATTCTGAATGACCAAAAACCTGTAGAATGAAATGCCACATTTCAGATGAAGTTGCAAAATTTTCCAATAATGACCCTCAACAGAAGGATAACAAAAAGCCAATTATAACCTTTAATAGTTCACTGAATATATTTCTGTTCTTCAAATTCAATTTGAAATAAAGAATGCATGTAGTTATTACAATATAATCAATTCCATGAATATGAGTTCTATGAAGAGTTGGGAGGAAAAAACTCATTCCAAGGAGGAATATTTGGTAAATACATCTTATAGATGGGTACAAGTAACTGAAGTATAATTAAAAACATTTGTGCATAAAGGAGTTAAAATAACTGCCATTTCTACACTCACAAGACATTAGACAATAGTTCTCAAACTTAAGACTTTTACGATGTTTACCAAAATATTTCAAGATCTAGGGTGCAAAAAATTGCTTATTAAGAGTGAAAATGAACAACACAAACATGCCTTTGCAGCAGCATCTTCAGCCTCCCGTTTATGTTTGCTGATGTTGTGGTCTAATTCCTTCAGTTTAAGCTGAGAATCATTGTTTTGTTCTTTATGCTTTGCCACTTGTGCATATTTTGCTTTAATGACATTGTCCTGGGCTGTTATCACTTCTTTTTGCTTGGTAACCTCTTCCTGAGCTTTACTTACTGACTCCTAAAACAATTAGAAGAGCATAGAAAGGTAACATTTATATAATCTGTAAAACAATAGCTTTGCAGATTTCTGCCAAATGCATGGTAACATTAGAGGTCACTTAGCCCTTTATATCCTCATTAAGATGGCTAATAAATTTACAAGCAGGAGAAAACTTGTGTTACCAACATAAAACAAACAAACAAAAGGAATGGGTGCAGAGTCTCTGCTGGAAACAATAGAATTTCTGCTGGATATAGCTTATATAGGAACAATTTAGGGTGGGCTCTCTGTCAGGTATTTTTCTTCCTTGAGTACAGTCTCAGGCCTACACGTAATGAATATTCCTTGTAATTTACCACAGCTGTATCCTATATACCAAAATAAAAACAAACTCCTGCGCTGGAGATGATTCTGACTCATGGCAGGATAGATGACCCTTGTGGGTTTCCAAGACTGTAACTCTATTTGGGAGTAAAGAACCTTGTCTTTCTCCTATGAAGTGGCTGGTGGTTTAAACTGCCGACTTTGTGGTTATCGGTTCAAATCAAAACCCAGGACCACCAGCGTCTAATCTTCCACTCTTCTATTATAGTTTAAAATTGCTTCCATTATGCAGCATCTGTAGTTTGTTTCTGGAGTCTGGGTCTCATAGCTGGTTACACATTGGGCTGCTAGCTGCACGGTGAGTAGAGAGACCCCACTAGCCAGACTCCTGTTGGATTTAGTCTCGGAAATCTGAAGAGGTAGCTCTACCCTGCCCTATAAGGTCAGTATGTGTCAGAATTAATTCGACGGCAGTAAGTTTACAGTTTGTTCCTGGAGTAGACCCTGAAAACACCCAACAATATTATTTATTCCCAGGCTCCTTCCGAATCTTTAGTTTGGCCTCAAGCACTTGTCATAAGGAAAGCAGAGATTAAGAGCCCTATAATCAAACCTTAAGCCAACATTTGATAGATTGGCATTTATAAATTCCCTAATTTGATAAGTAAGGGGTACCTTATTTTTAGTAATTTCAGCTGCCATTATTTTAATCTGATCTTCATAGGATTTGATAGCTTCATTTACAGCTTCAAGCTGTTGTTCATAGGATGCTTGCTCTCTCTTGAGCTCTTCCAACTCCAGCGTGATAGCTTCAAATTCCTGTAACAAATATGTTTTATGAGTGTTCTTAGTTCATTAACTACTACAACAGTAACAATTCTCATACAGACAGTACCCACAGCCCACTTACCCCACAGCCTCAAAACACAAGTTTTTAAGGATTCAAAGCACTTACCATAGGTTATTTTCCATACACTTTTATTCCTAAAAACATAGAATTCTATGTATGGATTAAAGAGGTAAAGCATTTCTTTGAAGTAGATATTAAACTTTCTTTTTTAACCATGATTATTCAATGTGTAAAATGTTAGGGTCCCAATTTTCTTCTCTCCCGTTACAGTTTTTAGTCCATCAGAAAATACTTGGTCTAGCTATTTAATGATAAAATCCTTAAGGTAAAATTAGCAGCTGCTAAAACTCCTCATACATAGCCAAATACCTCATGAGATTTAGTTCCTTTCTTTGGAGGTTTAGAATCAAGGGACATCCCAGTTAATTAGCCTAAGAATGTGTTTAGTGCCAGTACAGTGGCCCTGGGTCCCTTTATGCTTCCAAACATAAATATGGTAACCAAAGTTACACCTAGTCTCTATTCACCTGAAACAAAAACCAAGTAGATGCTAGCTGTCTCCATGCAACTGCATCAACTGTCACGACACTAGAAGAACTGGATGGTATCCAGGTACCATTCATTATTGAACATTTTAGTCAAAAATCCTATAGACAAATCTCTATCAAAAGAGGAAAATATTGGACAGAATTTCAAATTCTGATGGAATCCAGATTTTCTAAGGGGTGAATGAAACCCTGAAATAAACTATAAACCTTAACCAAAAATATTCCCTAAAAAAATCTTAAAGCAAAAAAACAGTTTAGAGTAATGAATAGTGTCTGCCTTGAGCACTGTGCTCTTTTAAGACTTCCTTTTTGTATGATCAATTTGAAAGATGAAGTAGGAAACTTAGAGGGCACAGACCGTGGGAGAGGCGCACTATGAAAAAGAGTGAGAAGACTGTGTAACTTCCAGGGTGTAATCAATGTGACTGCATCATGTATGTAGAAAACGTTGAACTGCTGTTTGTCCTATGCATATTCTCAGCAAACAGAAATAAAATAGCCCCAAAAAAGTCCTCCAAAAAAGTAAGTTTAAGTACAATCACAGACTAGTAATTAGGAACATGGTCTTTGGAGATAGAAAGTCAAGTTTTAAATTTCAGAGAATATCATTCTACAATTAAGAGTACTTGAGTAATATAACATACTTAGTTTTATATCATTCTCCAGCAGGAAACACTCAGACTGTTTGCCTACTATATGATTAATCAACTCACAGAATCATGATGTAAACATTATTCACTCTTAAAGGTAACTTTGAATTAGTAAATCAATGCAACCCATACTCATAATTATTTGATATGACATTATAGGTTTTGCATGTAATAATATGTTTGCCTTAAACCTTTTTTAAGTATTTCCTTAAAATACATGTCTATCTTTGAATTTGGTAATGAATAACCGGTAAGTAAGGTTAACCAGGATACTCTAACATATTTAGTTCTACTGTCTTTGAAGACAGTGTCAATTTTCAATAAGTTATTATTACCTGTTGCTTTTCTTTCATTTTTTTGCTAGAAGCATCTGCCTTGGTTTTGGCACTATCAAGTTTTTTCTGAGCATGCTTCAGTTCTCGCTCTCTTTCAGCTTCTGCATTCTTCATTTTGTTCTCCAGTACTTCATATTTTTCTTCTGCTTTTTTTTGAATTTCTTTGGTGTTTTTTAATGTCTCCTCACTTTCCTCTGTACATGAAATAGACAAATAGACAAATGTGGCTGAATATGATCCTCCATTTAGCTGCAGATAATAGCTTATAAATTAAACTTTTAATAGAAGTCTGAAAAGTTACAGGATAGTTTTTTAAAAATTATCAAAAATACTATAAAATTAAAAGACAATCTCACACGGCAAAAAAAGACATTTGTAATGTACATAAGCTACAACAGATTAGAACTCTTAAATATAATAAGGAAGTACACTCCCAATCCAAACTGAGCAAAACATATGAACTGGAAATGCCAGAAGTAGAAACTCAAAAGACCACATAAAATAGATGCTATACTTCAGCAGCAACAAGTAAACTGAGAAAAGCTAATGGAGGGTCCTGTTTCATAACCATTGTATTGGGGAAAAAGAGAAAACAAACAAAAAACCCACAAACTCCCAAATATGCTTGAAAGAAAGTACAGCATCTTCAAAATACGCACAACAAGAGGTGAAACAGATGAAACATAGGATCTTATCTTACCAATGATTTTCTTAAGGGCATCTAACTCTTCTTGCTGTTTATGATATGAGCTCTGCTGCAGCTTGGTTTGTAATAAATCTGCCTCCTCAGTTTTCATCTCCCACTGCTGTTTCAGTTTGCGATACCTTAGAAAAAGGGAAGTTTGCAACAATTGTCAGAGTTTTTCTGGTGTTTGAAACATGCATTCAAACTCTAGGCTTTTACCTAAAATAAATTCACTTTACAATATAAATAACGTGTAGCTGAGATGATTTTTATGTCAAACTTCTGAGAAATCAAATTTAAGTCTTATTTGGTCAATAAAATTAAGCAACCGCAAATGACCATAGTACAGCATAATACAAACAGCCCTAAAGATCCATAATAAATATCTACAGAAAGCATTCTCATAAAATGCTAAATGCAATCTTTCAATAAATAATTTTCTTGGAATATAATTTTTATAAGGTTCTGAATTTTTTAAGCAAATGAGATTTTGTCTTTCATATAACCACATACCCAGTTCACCAGCATCTTTTAGGTGTTCACTGTTAACAGCCAAACTCAGGGAGGACTCTCCTATAGGATCAATCTAAAATGTCAACACCTCTTTCTCCTCGTCAGCCATTTTGTTTCCTCTGAGTACTATTTAACAAAATTTGAGTTGTCAATTTGCCTTTTTAAATGATATATTTCCCCAACTACATGAAAATTTTATAAAAGCAAACATATTTATGTTTAATTCATTGCTATATTCACAGCTCCAAAAGAGCACTTGCTACACAGAAGGAACTCAATATTTATTAAGAGAATAACAGAGAGGAAAAGAAGTTTACATTGAACAGTATAATCCCAATAGGAGAATGAAAACATACACACATACCACTCCAAAATTTAAAAGTGACTTTCTAACATGAGTTTAATTCCTCTTTAAGCAACCAGGTGATCTTCATAATGCAGTTAAACAGTCCAGATGCTGAATTTTCAATGCTTCATTGTATCATGTTATCTCACACCAAGCCTCTAGAGCAGCGGTTTTCAACCTGTGGGTCATGACCCCTTTGGGGGGGGTGTCAAACAATCCTTTCACAGGGGTGTCCAATTCCTAACAGTAGCAAAATTAGTTATGACGTAGCAAAGAAAGTAATTTTATGCTTGGGTGGGGGTGGGGGTCACCACCACATGAGGAACTGTATCAAAGGGTCGCGGCATGAGGAGGTTGAGAACCGCTGCTCTAGAGTATCTAAGGGTGAGCCTCACCAAACTTAGCTAATTGTTCAGTATGTACCTCAGCAAGGAGAGTGGTTATCTTTCTTCTTAATTATTGTTCAATTAGACTTCCCTACTCACTTATAGAAAAACGAATACTTTTATAATCAGAGAATTAACTGACAAATTATCAACTCATACGTCACTGAAATAATTAAAATAAAGTCAAGGATATATTTTTTAAATTAGAAATACTCTTTCTTAAATAAAAGTTTATATTTAAAGAAAAATGAATACTTATTTATGGATGTATAATTTCTAATTAAAAAAAAAATTTTCTTTCACTTTCTATCCTACAAATAACCAACCAAGATATACAAAAGATAGTCTAATCCAACAGACTTACTTCTCAGCAATGCTTTTAAGACCTGCTAATTCCTCTTCTAGCACATGTAGCTCACTCTCCTTACTTTTCAGTTCATCTTGAACAACTTTGAGTTCCTGGAATTTGGTTAAAATGGAAGCTGCCTGAGAACGAGCACCTGACAGAGACAACGTGAAACAGGCCTTGGTATTGTTTTCTCATACACAGCAAGCAAGAAAACACTTTTCTAAGAAAATGCTTTACATTTATAGCTTATGAAACTACAGAATTTTGTTAATTTTATAACTTAAATGTAAACGATTGCATTAAAGTTAGCACACAAAAGGAATTCAATATTCATTGAGTAAATTAATATAAAAAAGAAAAGAAAAAACGGTTTATATAAAATAGCATGATCTAATCGTCAGGACCTTATGACATATGTGACTGCTAAGAAACTCTTGTAAACAGATGTGCTAAGTGCTTTAAAGTACTCACTGGCACTGCTTAGTGGGTCCATCCCTCTCAGGAGCATTTTCCTCTCCAACGACATCATATGAGTTCATGGGACTAGCTCTGGCTAATGAAATGTGTCTTGTATAAGGCAATACACTATTGACTACTTGCCCTCCCTCTGCCATGAGAAAAGCATCATGTACGTGTGCAAGACAGCGACTTCACCTTCACGTTTGGCCACAGAATGAGAATAATATGAAGCAGAGGCGACTGACTAGCATTTATGGAACAGATTTGTAAATCAATGAGAGTTGGAAGCCATTTATTATCATATCATAACCTGGAATAAGCTGATTCACAACAGCACAGAGAGTAAACTGGTTTCATTTTACAAGTAACTAAAAGTCACCTGCCAGTGGTAGTGGCGGGCTGCAATACTATGTTGGTATAAAACTGCTTCCTGAGAACTTGCCACAGGAGAACGATGAAGCTCTCTGCTACCACAAGGATTTACAATCTCAGAAACCACTGAACATTTTCATTCTGTCCTAAAGAGAGGGCCACTATGGGTTGAAATTAACTCAGTGGCAGGGGGTATTATATGTAATGAGCTAATGTAATACTAGGTTACATATTTGCTATACCAAAATAAAAACTTGAAGAGTTCCCAACACAATAAAATCAACAAAGTTTTTGGTTTTTTTGGGTTAAGTAACTAAAAAACACTTGGTCTCTCGTACACGGGGAAAATGATACTTAATCACTCTAAATTTATTTGCTTGTTTTCTTGGTCTAGAACAGTAGTTCTCAATCTGTGGGTCGCAACCTCTTTGGAGGTCGAAGGACACTTTCACAGGGGTGGCCCGATTCCTAACAGTAGCAAAATTAAAGTTATGAAGCAGCAACAAAAATAATTTTATGTTTGGGGGGGTCACTACAACATAAGAAACTGCATTAAACGGCCGCGGCATTAGGAAGGTTGAGAACCACAGGTCTAGAAAGACATCAAGTCACTTGATATCTCAAGAGGCAGTATGTACTGGTGAAGAATGTAAACTCTGAAATGAGACTACTGGAATTAAAATTCACACCTTGGCCACATACTAGCATCATGCACCTTATTGATTTAACTGTATATTGAGGATGACAGCACACCTCATATGTCAACTCGGTCAGGTTCAAAAGACCAGGTTGGTATGCAAAAATTGTCACTAGGCCAAAAATGGAGGATCACCACTTCAAATCACCAATTAGATAAATATACATCATTATACAACTGCCAAGCTTCATCATTACATAACTCCCAAATTGTATCATTACATTACTACAAGTCACTGAGTCATGCCCCAGCCAAGTTGACGCTATCTTAGCCATCATAGCCACATTGTTCTCTCTTGTACCCCAGCATTCCATACTCCCCAGATATGTGCTGTTAATGTGCAGTTAACAGCTGCATGGAGTTTTACTTATTGTCATAAAGGCAAAATGTTGGCTAGTCAATAAGTGGGGTGTTAGTATGTCCACCACATAAAAAACTAAATGACCTAATTATGTAAGGCTTTAGAACAGGGCTTCATAAAATGATAATGCTCTATTACTGCATTGTCCAATAACTCATTAAGCATTTGTTATTAAGTACTTCAACTATGGCTAGTGCATAATTTTATTTAAATTTAATTAACCTAAATTTCAATATAAAGAGCCACATGTGGGTAGGGGCTACTATACTGTATAATATAATCTTAGAACACAGCTAGTACAAACTAAGTACTATCCAGGGTTTGATATTATAATAACCCTTTGCACAGAATTGGTGTCTCAATGTAGTAAATCTTAAGAATATCGTTGTTATTTAAGAATTCCTTTCTTAAGGTATCATCTCCAGGAAAGATTTAATATTTTATTCTTGACATAGTACTAGCAATAGGATGTACACAAATTTAGAGGTTAATGTTTCCTGAAGGGGAAGTAGATAGTTAGGCCCAAAATGTACCTAATAAGAAGACTGCTACTCAATGATGAGTTTCCTAATAGGACAAAGAGTAAGAGAATAATGGAATGGACTTAGCTGAGATAGACTATGAGCTCCATTAGGACTAAGTCATTGTATCACTCTATATACATAAATATATATGGTGACATTAAGTACTAGATGGCTAACTGAAATGCTGGCGATTCAAACCCATCAGCAATCTAAAAAGAAAGTTGAGGTTTCTTCTATGAATATTTACTGCCTTGGAAACTCTATAAGATTGTTATGAGTTGGAATAGACTCAACGGGAGTCGGTTTATTAAAAAAATGAAGACCGTGATTTAAACCCTTGGTTTCTGGTCTTTCTAGGTATATAATTATATTAATGCATAACCCCAGCTGCCCTACTGAGGGGGCTGGATCTATTTTATTGACTAGTTATTTTTTTACTTTTCACTATGAATTAGGTGAAGATTTAACAAAGTAGATGATCACTTTCACAGCCAAGAATTTATACACCTTTTAACTCATCCATTTCAACCAAATCCCCTTCGTGTATCGTTATATCCAACTTGCTGCCTGCGTTTTTTATATCCATTCCTCCATCTTTCTGAACTCTCATTACTTTGTCCTTAGGTAAATGATACTCTTTTGATGTTAAATAGCTGATTATTCTTACATGGGAGTGAGTTCAATTCCAGACCAGCTATAATCTCGGGCCCACTGGTCTTTCTCTGACCAGTAAGCCAGGTCTCTTTCTTTCATGATTTTGATTTCTGTTTCACATGTTCTCCTACTCTCTTCAAGAATGTTAAAGTAAGTTTTAGAGCAATTAGTAGTGTTAGTCGGGCACCATGTAGTTCTTCTGATCTCAGGGTTGTACAGACTAATATTTATGCTATGTTGCACATAGAATTTGGGGTACAAAATAGTATATAAAACTTACCTCCACTCAGTGTCCCATGGGGATCAAATACATCACCTCCAAGAGTTACTGTTCTAGTCATTATCCTTTTATCAAAAGCCACTTTTTTGGCATTATCCATGTTGTCACAAACAAATGTTGTCCCAAAAACAAATTCCATGGCTTTCTGAAGTTCTGGTTTATATTCCACCAGAGAAAGAGCCACATGTACATTATTAGGGCCAACCTGGGTGGAAAAAACAGCAGGTATGCCATACTATGTACTTCTTCCTTTCAAATATTGTTTTATATGCTAGTAAAACAGCTAATTAACAAGAACTTACTATCACAATTCAACTACCAATACATATATTTTAAAGTCATTTTCATTGAATGATTCTCATTTCAGAAAAGACTTTCTGTATCTATTTTTAACTACTTTAGCGTATAAATAAAATGTCGAATAGATTTACTCTAAAGGCACCTGTTAATTACAAATACATGTCCAGGTTTTACGAACTATCTTTACAACGCACAGTTGGAATGGCTACTCAGTAACAAATTGAAATCTCTGCTAAATGTTAAAATTAACTTCATGTTTTTATCTAATATTACATCATCACAGTAATGTTTCAAATGCACTTCCCTGAACTTCTCTCTTCTCTTACTGGTAGGCATACCTAGCTGCACTCAGTGGCTGACATGGTTCACCAGGCACCTGCTATACATACACACTCATACGGAAGATGGCAATCTCAAATCAAGAAGAACCCCTGCAATCATCATTGTCAAAATGGCTGTCATTGTAGCAGTTTAAATGTGCCTGACACAATAAGAAACGAAAAAACCTACAGAATTCTGAATATTCATCTATAAGCTCAAGACTAGCTAGTAATTTAGAATGAGAAGATCGCATCTATTGCCATCTGACACTCATGTGATTTGACCAAAGGTTTAGACATTATAATCATGTACTCTGAAGTGCCAAAGGGAGTTCTAATCTGATATTTCTATTTGTGTCCCATGTAAATGCACAAAACAAACTCCATTTTCTTATTTTTATATACTGCAACAAATTAAAAATCGTGATGTCCTCAGAGAGTGTCATTAATGTCCTAGATTTTAAATTTTTAAGGAAAATTAAACATAAGTAATACTCACAAGATTCTGAGCCACCCTCAGGGTTTCTGGAGCAATACATCTGGCTGAAATTTTATTGAGTGGAATTATAGTATATCGACGTTTCAATTCCCCCTTTTCTAACAGTTTTTTGCCAGTAACCTAAAACATTATATATTTGAGATGTTTAAAATGTGAAAAAAATATTTAATAAAGATAATAGAAAATACTCAAGTAGAAATAATGCCAATTTAAAAATCCATAATCAATGAACATTTTAGAGTTCTGTACTGAGGATCCCACTACATATCTGCCAGTTTCTCATGCTGTGGTGGCTTGTGTACTGCTGGAAGCTTTGTCAATGACATTCTAAATAGCAGCAAGGTCATCCAACTTAAACAGGTTTCAGTGGAGCTTCTACACCTCAGAACAGACTACAAAGGACTACGCCACGTACTTGAGGGATCAGCCAGTGAAAACCTTATGAACAGCTGCACACACTGACAGAGCGAACGCCAGATGAGTTGCTCAGGTTTGAAGGCATTCAAATTATGACTGAGGTGGTGCTGCTGTCCTCTTGAAGTGGAATCAGTCTTACTCATGTCAGTGGAGTACAGCTTTGAGGACCTTCATTTACTGATGGGGCATAACTCAAAATGAGAAGAAACAGCTGCAGATATCCCCTCGCAAGTGGGATACAAAACATTCAAAACATGAATTTAGGAAACCTGAAGTTATCAAAAATGAAATGCATAAAGACAGATATCCTACACATTAGTGAGCCGAAATGAACAATGACTACAGACCTGCGAAGAACTGATGCACTTGAGTTATGGTGTTGGTAAAAAATATTTAAAGTATCATGGACTACAAATAGAACAAACAAATCTGTCTTCGAAGAAATCCAATCAAAATGCTTACTAGAAGTCAAGCTGGTAAGACGTTGTCTCATGTACTTTGAACCTCTGTGTTATTATCAGGAGAGACCACCCTGGAGAGGACAGTAAGCTTGGTAAAGAAGAAGGGCAGTGAAAAGAGGCAGGCCTCTGCCAAGATGGATTGACCGCACAAGAACTCCACAACAGCTCAAACGTAACTGTGAGGATGGCAAGGACACGGAGCTGCTGTGAGTGGAACTGATTCGAAGACACCAAACCACACAGTGACGGTCAAAATGTAATACTAGCCTGGGTCAAGTCCACCCGAGAATCCCTCTCCAAGAGTTAGCACCAACTCATTAACTAAAATGTTTTACCTGAAAATATAAATGACTTTACGAGAAACTTAAAACATTGAGGAAGTATTTAATATTCCCAGCAGCATATAATGTTTCAAGCTAAACTGTATTTAATTACATTGAATTTACCTCTGTGTCCACGACAACATTGTAGAGTCGATCCCCAGCTACCAATTCCAAAGCTGTGGTTGCAGAAGTATCTCTGACACTAACAAGAGAAGCCACGAGCCCTTTTACACAATTTCTATTCCAGTTCTTCTCCGGATCCCTATAATATAAGAGTTGCTAAAAATTAATAGATTAAAAAATAGGGGGAAAATGAGTTTAAACATAATGGCTTCAACAAAATAAAAAATTTAAAATACTCCAGATGTTCAGCTATATTATTTTTAAACCAGACAAAAGAACTTACAGGATAGATTATATAACAAAAACAACTCTGATGTCCTAATCTTTTTTTTAATTAATCATTTTATTAGGGGCTCATATGACTCTTATCACAATCCACACATACATCAATTGTGTAAAGCACATTTGTACATTCATTGCCCTCGTCATTCTCAAAACATTT